GGCCTCCCAGAGTGCTAGGATTACAGGCGTGAGCCACCACGCCCGGCCTTAACAATTTTTAAGTGTACACTTCAGTAGTATTTAAATATATTCACATTTTTGTGCAGCCAAATGGCAGAACATTTTCATTTTGTGAATCTGAAACTCTGTGCCCATTAAACAATACCCAGCCCCTGGGAATCACCCTTCTACTTTCTGTTGCTATGAATTAGGCTACTCTAGGTACCTCATAGAAGTGGAATCATACAGTGTTTGTCATTTTGAGACTGGCTTATTTCACTCAGCATAGTGTCTTTGAGGTTCATCCATGTCATAGCACGTGTCAGAACTTCCTTCCTTTTTATGGTTGAATAATATTCCATTATGTGCGTATGCCACATTTTGTGTATCCATCTGTCAATGAACGCTTGAGTTGCTTCCATTTTATAGCTACGGTGAATAATGGTGCTGTGAACCTGGGTGTACAAGTACTTCTTTGAGACCCTACTTTCAGTCCTTTTTGGTACATACCCAAAGTGGAATTGCTAGATGCTATGGTAATTCTGTTTAATTTTTGAAGAAACTCCCATCCTGTTTGTTGTTTTCCATATTGGCTACACCATTTTACATTCCCACCAATAGAACACAGTGATTCTTGTTTCACCACATCCTTGCCAACACTTGTTATTTTCTGTGCTTTTTTTTGATAATAGCCAACCTAACGAGTGTGAGGTGCTGCTTTACCTTTTAGATATGAAATAGAAGATTATGGAATGAGAACCTGTGGGATGAAATGTCTGCAAAGTGTGCCTTTGATTATTCCTTTGAGAGCCTGGTTCTCAGCTCTTTAATATTTTCCTGGTTTCGAAGATCTGTATGTACCTGAAACGGGCAGTGGACTAACTGCTCCTCAGCTGTCATGCATAAGCCTTCAAACTATCCATTTTGTAAATGCTGATTCCAGACATCAAATACAAATAGGTTCTAGCTTACCATTATCTCTTGTTTTTCTCCTATTTACATCATCAAAACACACCACTTACTCGGGAGGCTGAGTGGAAGAATCGCTTGAGCCCAGGAGTTCGAGGCTGCAGTGAGCTATGATTATACCGCTGCACCCTAGCTGCCTGTGCAACAGAGTGAAGACCCTATCTCTTAAAAACAAAAAACAAAAAACACTACTTTTGAAGACTTTGGTGGCTCATAATTTTCTAGAAGAAAGGATGGCCCATAATTGGAAAATATTTTTTATTTTAGATTTACAAACAGCCATTAGAATGATCAATATACTGAATTCTTTTCCTATTTCCATATTATCTATTTCCTTCCAGTCACCTTTGTATACACCTTTGTATACACCTGCCTTTAGCTTTAGTTAACTTACAAACTGTACTAGGTAAATATTGGTGTACAAACCTGATAAATGATGAAAGAATATTGTCACGTGTCTTAGCAAAATGAGATGTCCAAGTTCTTGTTGCAAGGTAATTGTGGAATGAAGTTCTTCCTGTTGAGTGACTAACTGGATGGAAATATATTTATTTTTCTCTTTAGAAATGCAGTTGACGGCCGGGCGCGGTGGCTCACGCCTGTAATCCTAGCTCTCTGGGAGGCCGAGGCGGGCGGATTGCTTGAGCTCAGGAGTTCGAGACCAGCCTGAGCAAGAGTGAGACCCCGTCTCTACTAAAATTAGAAAGAAATTAATTGGACAACTA